TCTACATCCATAGCCTTATGTCAGAATTTTCTCAGTTCTAAGAGACATCTAAGAAAATGTTTCTACATCTGCAGATTTCTACAAGTGGCCCCTGAATTCTCCATCATAAGCATGGGAAACACTTTGGATAAAATGTAAAGAAGCTTCTTTTCTTCCATTGTCTTCTCCAATAGAAAGATTACATTATCATATCCTATTTATTTTTCAGACTGGCTCACATCTTCATTCCATGACTGTGCTTTATCACATTTTCATTACATTCATTATTTTTTTCCTTCATCATTTAAACCAAATAAAATATTACACTAATAATCTTGGTGTGATGTTTATTCTATTGTGAAGAAATATTAACACAATTTAGCTCCTTGCCAAATATTAAAATTCACTTTTTAAGTAAGAACAATTAAAGGAAAAGTTTGCATTTCCAGCTTCATTGCCCAAATTTTAGTTTTGATGCAGTGGATGTCTGGATCTAATGGAGTAAGGAAAACAAGATGACATCAAAAGGCATAATATCAAAATACTATAATTCTAATGGCTGTAGCCAAGAATATGTATTAAATAACGAGGGGTTCAACACTGATTTTTTTTTTTTTTAATTCTACAGCAGCAAAGTAATCATCTCCTGAATAATTTTTGTCACTGTAATGAAAACTGTCTCACCACTAATTACTTTATAAAGCTCTTGCAAAGATCTGAGCTAATAGGAAGATACATAAACTAAAGAAAATCTTAAGAAATGGGGAAAAAAGTAAGTAAACGATTGTGGAGACTTTTTTTTCCTGTTGTAGAAGTATGCATAAATAAGGTGCACAATTTCTATATAGGCCATGCTAACAGATATGTGAGCATATATTGTCTCTGTTGCTTGTAAAGGTTTGCTATAGTATGAGGGAGAGTTTACAGCCATCAAAGTGGAACATTCCACTTAGGTTTTTATCAATATGCTTCAGCATCACAATTTTTCCACTGAGCCTGATTATTTTAGGAAATTGGGCAAAGGCATAAAAGTTTATTAATTTTTTATGGGGACAATAAAGCTAACATTGAAGAACATGAGTTTGGGACACCATTGCTCCTCCATTGCTCCTCCTCACTGATTCCTCACTGAGACATATAACCATTCTGATATTTAACATAGTGTTTGGCTTAAAGGAATTTAACAGCATTGCAGAAGAAAACCAGTGTGAGTTTGAAAATTATCAACTATGGATAACCAAGTATTTGGAATCAGTAAAAAGGCTTGTTTAGAAATGTCATTTCCAGACATTCCATTGATGCTACTGTTATTTTCATTCCCATGAGCTTTCACGGATACGAAAATCCATTGAAAATATATGAAAATAGCTTTCATGGCCTCATCTGTTAGCTTAGTTTTGCTTTCTTAATGGTGAAATTTCTTTTGCAAATATTAACCACATGTATGTGTGTTAAAATAAGTATAAATTAGCTTGTGAGTTCAGTGGGAGTAAGATGGGGCCCTACCAGAAAAAAAAGATTTTGATTCAAGAGCAAAGTACATACTGTGCTTTTCAAGTAGCAGCTGTTTTTTCCAGTGTATCAGACAGTGAATGTATATTTGCTTGCAATGACAGGTCAGAGCCAAGAATTTTGAGTGGAGAGTTTTATTACGAAGGTAGCTACTGAAGTGAGATTCCACTTGACAAAGCCTCAGTCATTCTGGGCCAACTTTTAAAATTTAGGTGGGTGGCTGTTTGACATTTTAGAGTAAATCAAGCTCTGTAAGAAACAATGAAACCTAGTTGCACTGAGAAAAATGGCACTGGGATAAGACAGCAGAGGTCACATTACAAAGTTAGTGATTTATGCATTACTTTCAAAGAGTGTTTTAGCCTCTTAGAGCTCATGATGGAGCAGGTTTGCTGGTAGGACTTGTGAACCTGTGGGGTATCCAGGCTGGAGCAGTCTGTTCCTCAAGGACTACACCCCACAGAAGGGACACATGCTGGAGGAGAGAAAGTACATGAGGAGGAAGGAGCAGTAGAGACAACATGTGATGAACTGACCGCAACCCATACTCCCTACCCTCCTGTGCCACTGCATAGCGAAAATTGGGAGTAAAGTTAAGCCCAGGAACAAGGGAGGGGTTTAGGGAAGATGTTTTAAGATTTATGTTTTATTTCTCATTATACTACCCTGATTTGATTGGTAATAAATTAAATTAATTTCCCCAAGTTGAGTCTGCTTTGCCCATAATGGTAGTGGTTGAGAGATCTCTTCCTGTCTCTGTGTTAACCCAGGAGCCTTTCATTGTATGTTCTCCCCTCTGTCCAGCTGAGGAGAGGAGTGATAGAGTGGATTTGGTGAGCACTTGGTATCCAGGCGGGGTCAACCTGGCACACAGATCAAGTGCAGAAGAGGCTGGAAGAAAAAAGTATAAACACAAGGGAAGCTGCATATTACTTCATCCTGCTAATCTGAGTCAATGAACAAGATCAAAAATGTGTAATTTCATTATGCTACTGAGTAGATATAGTTATTTTATAGCCATTTCTTTAGAACATTTGTTTCTGAGAAACATAAAAAATTAATTTAGTTATTACCCTAAATATATATTGAGACATTTATAAATATTCTCACTCTGTATTGATATATGCATAAGAAACCCATCTTCTGTCCCCTTTTAGTTAGAGTTCTACCACTTCTGTAGCATAAATCTGTAGTGAATATATTTTCAAAAACCACAATTCAGTTTTATTTACTGCTGATTACTTGAGGAATAGTTATGGGTAAAATAGTTTGTAACACCTGATTTGCTTTCTATTAAGAAATCATTATGTTTGAACTTGTTAATTCCCCCAGATAAAGCTGCTCAGAGTAACGACTGAAAAAACATTCTGTTCTTCAACAAACCTACATATATACGTGCCTGTCAAAGTAGTTCTTTTTTCAAATATTAGTGTACTGTTCCCAGTGTACTTAGCAATTGTTATTTCACTCACCTACACCTCTAAAGAACTAGAAATATCTATATTGTTCACAATGTAACTGCCATCTAATTAATGAAGAGATTCACATTATTATTTGAGCATTACAGAAACATAAAATCTATACTCAAAATGTTTAGATAAAAGAGAATTAAAAAATGCAGGCAGACATACTAATTTTTCTTTCCATGTACCTTTACATTCTCTGTTGAGCCATGGCACATGGATTTACTCCAGTAATCTAACCCCTTAGATTTGATGGCTTATATTTTAACAGTTGTGTTTGTTCTTTTTACTTTTAAAAAATGATTTTATATACTTACATGTTTTCAAATAAATTAATTAAATATACTGTAACAAGAAAATGCAGAAAAGAGAAAATATGAGCTAATTCACAAAATTGCATAGGAGACCTGGGGAAGAAGTGTTATTCAAATAAACAAGTGGTAAATTTACTATATACACAAGTAACAAAGGACACAGTCAGAAAGGAGGTAGCCTACAGTAAGGTGCTAACGTTGTTCATTGCAGACAAAAAAAATCTATTCCATGTTCCTTTCTGAGTGACTTGGAGCCAAAAGAGAGAAAAAATAGGCATAGCTCTTGGTGAAGTGAACTCTCAGTGGAGGTTGTAAGCAAAATAAACTTCATTCCACTTGAAAGACCAATGCAACATATGTTTTCCATGAGTTCTTTTTACCTTACTGAAACACAATTGTGAAAAGACCATGGAAAATTATGCTTTTACAGACTAAATGTTAACTCAGAAGCTATGCATTAACAAAGTCTACAGGAGATCCTTGTTACAAACAAGTAGGAGAAAAAACAGACACAGCTAAATACTTCCTCAGAATCTCAAATCTGCTATCAACGAAAGTCTTTCAGGATTATCACTGGAAAAGTATTCTCACTGATTAAAAAAAAAGTACTCCTCAGAGTTCAGTAATGGGCTAGTTTTAGCAGCCACGTCATATTTTTATGAAGACTTATCAAATGCTTGCTATTAAGCTATATAACACTTCAGAACTGAATCAACAGCAGTGTTGTAACACGCAGGCAGGCCTTTATTTTCAAGTTCCTTTTTAAATATCTCTCTGTGATCACCTTATTTGCCTTGTTTGTGATCCTCAGAATACAGGCTGTAGGGATCCTGTTGTGAGTACTGTGCCTGGAGTGAGTGATCCACAGCGCAGCTAACCTGACCAGATGCATGTGCTGCATGCAAGGTGTGCTGTGCTGTGCCACAGGACAATCTCAACCAGCTCATTGAAATGGGAGAACCTGGAGTCAGCTCCTGCTCAGCACTGATTTTGCCTCCCCCATGACCTTGCCTTTAAACAGTGCAGTGAGAAGTTCTCATGGGAACATCTTTCATATTTGACTGTAGAAATGGTGAAGATAGTTGTTTCCTCATGAGAAAATCTTCTAATATCTTGAAGGACCAAAAGGGGATAATCTCTGCCATAGAGAGCACCTGCATAATGTGCTGCACATGGATCAGAGTCTTGTTCCATGCTACACTACTCAGGGCTCTCTGTTTCTAAGGGGATATATTATCCATGCTATTCTCTTCTTCTAGTGTTAACTCTAATGAACAGCCTTTTAAATGATATTTTAAAGAATATATGTCTTTCTTTGAATCATAATGGGCAGCACCTCCTGGGGCAAAACTGGCTTACCTAGACATTTTTTAATTTCAGTGTTTCAAAATGTGTTTGCCCATAGGATACCTTTTGTCTTTTCCTGTAAACATTTTGAAAGCCCTGGGTCAACAGAATTTGTTCTGATTCAGAATCCAGGTAAACAATCCCAGGTTTGTTGGGTTTGTGTTGATGTCCTGCAAAGCAGAGCTATTCTTCTGCCAGCTCTAAAGATGATCTCTGTCCATTAACATTTCCAACTAACTGTTTTTAATCTGTATCATACATTATCAAAGCCAAAGCTGAGTTTGTGCTTGATTTAAAGTCTAAACTAAATCTCTTATTGGCATGGTTTATATTCATTTCACAAAGCACACAGCAGGACATTTTTATCTTATATACATACATGAACCCTGTTCCAGGCCTGCTTGAAACCCTCATAGCCAGCCTGTATAAAATGCTGTGGCATCCCCCTTGTACAAATTAAGAAACAAATCACAGTGGCCAGGTTTTATCCCACTGATCCTCTAGTATCCAAAAGACATGGTTCATTTAAAAGTTGTGCTAGTTTTGGCTGTCTCTATAGTCACTGGAAAAAGAAAACTGAGAGAAAAGATATCTGTTCAGAGGAAAAGACACAGCTTAGGGGAAAAAAGACTAAGCTAGCAAGATTGGAAGGATGTAGGCACTGCAGGATTCCCACTGTATCATGCAGATAGCATCACTGTACTGAACAGTGTACAGAACTCTGCATGAAGACACAGAATCTCCATACTATGATTAATAGCTTGAGGTCCAAGACTGGATTCCACATCAACCAGCTTATTCTTCCTTTAGCAAATAATGAATGCCTATGAAACTTGCTGCTGCACTCCTTTTTGGATTCATAACCATCATCAATGTAAGATCTTTTGGAATCAGCAGCCTAAAATTTGCTGTTTTAAACAGCTATAAGACTAAGTGAGAAAACCAGTGCTTAAAGAGCTCTGAAGAAGGGAGGAGGTCAAAGATTCATATCCCTTGTATTGGTTAAAGATCCTAGTCTCACGTTTTCACTCTCCTGGGTAGTGCCTTAATTATCAGCTTTCAGGTTTATAAGGATTTTTCTATTCAATCTTTATTTGTAAAGTCATTCCATTATATATTACTTTGCATGTTTCATGTACCAAGGTAGAAAGGATGGGAAGGAGAGAAGCATGGGAGTGAGTGGATAGAATGTCCTGAATAGGGAAAGAACTTCAGAACCTGTTCTAAAAAATAGCATATACAGAATGGATAGATTGGAGAGCATGAAGTCCTCTCTGTCCTCATTGGTATTCCCTTGATAAATGAGAGTTCAGGTGTTTCTAGGCAGCATCAAGAACTGTTTCCATTAGCTTTGGTGATTAACCTAAATACCATTTTGCTTGTCTGAAGAAAAATCTACTCCTTGATGTGGATCAAAGCTGTTACTTACAGATTTCTAAGAGTCTGAGTCACATAGGTTTACTCAATACAGGTTTTGGAAATGAAGGAAATTCTGAGTAAAACCATTTGAAGTCAAATAAGGAATCCAAGCAAAAGATTAAGTTAGTCCCATTTGGTCTCAATGCTATTAAACTACATAAATTATCTTAGAGTCTCTAGAATAGTTAATGTCAAGTAGCAAGATATAGAACCACAGTTACTATTTAGTGTAAACATCATGAAGTATTCAGGTTATGTAGGCTGCATTATTTTACACAGAAAAGACTGTGGATAGTTTCTTATTCCCAGAAGGATTTGAATGCTATTTTCTTCTCAGCTGAGTGAAAACAGTACCTCAGCTGTTACATCTGCAGGGAACAACAGATGAATAACCATGTATCCTGAACATGTTGTATTGAACATTGATTATTTTAGTAATTTCGTTTCTTTTAATGTTCTCTTTCCATATACATAAGTGATATTTAGCCTTTTCAGACTAAATATGTTTCAGGTGAACACTTTATTTATTTATCTGTGAAAATTTTATTAAATTCAATGTTACATTATTTTTGCTGCAAATTATTATCCAATGAATTCTCACCAGGAAGAAACTTATTCCGGTTTTGTCTTCACCCATCCCCTCCCCCGGACTGTAATTATTAGGAAATTACAACAACATACATGACAACTTTGAATAACTCTTCTATCCCTAAGATGAAATTTGTTGGCATAACAGTGTGGCAAGTATTCCTGAATTAGATACACATGCAAAAATCTGTGGTGTTCAGACCATTCATGAACAGGAAAGGGCTAATCATTTAACCAAAATATTCTTCCAGCTGCAGCTGTAATTTCATTTTTCAGGTTACTATTTAATTACTGTTAAAAGAAATTAAGAAAATTTGTCTGAAGGATGCCATATCAAAGTCTGCTATAGTTGATGATAAACATTGCATAAATAGCTGACTTTTTAAAGGTGTTGGAAAACAGAATTTTCACTAATATGGGTGGAAGACCCTGAATTTAGTTCAGTTTCAGACTGTGTGAACAGTTTTCTAACTTCTAGATGGATATATATTGAGCTTAATATCCTTCTGTTTCTAGATCAGTTATCTATATTAGTGTTGCTAAGGGTCCTGACATGTTTGACTTTAAATTTAACTCCAGAAATTTCCAGGAGAAAAAGTAATGGATTTGTTGACTAATTAAGTAACTTTATTTCTTTGGAAGTGGAAGGAAGTCTATAGAAAATTATTCTGTGATAGTTAAGCAAAACCATTAATTGCATCAATCACACCCTTTATTCTGGATATGTCGCTACTAGTGTGTTTGTTTAGGAGACAGATAATAGAGCAAGACTTTCTAATAGTCAATGATGCCTATAGATGATGCCTCATCCAAAAAGTCTAATGTTTTGCTAGACTTTCATACAGTGGCTTGGACAATAGGACAAGCATTTTCAGGCAATAGTGAAATATACTTTATCAGTTTATGTAGTTCTATCACTCAAACTCATTTTTTTGAAGGCATATTTGGACATAGATGTAAGCAATTTTTCAGAGAATTCTGAGACTGTATAAAACAAGAATTCTGAAGTACATAAAAAGGGAGGAAAATATTTGCCTCGAGAACTTTCTTCCAGCAAGGAAGGCACAGAAGGAAACTGTCCCTTGTCAGAGGCTTTCTCATTATTATCTTTCAAGGGAATAACTGAATATTCCTGATGCCACTAAAAAAACAGGTGTTGTTTTTTTTTTTTTTTATGAACCTCAAAGGATAAGCAGGACAGATTCCAGCAGAAAATTAGAATTGCACCTGAGGTTATGGACACTTTGACATATCAGTGCCAGTGAGGGACTTACTACAGCTGCTGAACTATATGCTGTCAAGAAGCCAGACCTGAGTGCTGCAGTGCGTTATAGAATCATAGAACAGTTAGGGTTGGAAAGGACCTTAAGATCATTTAGTTCCAACCACCCTGCCATGGGCAGGGACACCTCCCGCTAAACCATGTCACCCAAAATGAGCATTCTGGCTCATTTTGTATAATACCATGTATACATGCAATAAATTAGTCATACAAATAGAGCACTGCATTTTTTTTTGTCACTATTTTTGTCGTATTGATATTTTTCTTGATTGCTGTGCATCATGGGCAATTTAAGCTTATATGTTTGGCAACCATAGCATTTCTGCCTGTAGCCAAAGATGGTTGTATTCAAGAGTCTTTCTGCACTTTGGTCTCTATAAGATCTCTTTATCACTGTCTGCTAGAAACTGCTTTTAACTGTTCACTTGAACCATTCTTCCTCTCAGGAAAACATCTGAAAATGAATACTTAAAACAGTCAGTAAAAACAGTTGACTTTTTTTGCCTCTCTTTACATATGGTATTTACCTCTCTTCATGAAAGGGCATACCTTTGAACACTTAACTTTTTGTATTGTATTTCATATGCAGGGAGACTTAAGTTGTTTATTTCCCATTACTGTCAGTTATTTATAATGTGAAAAAAAAAGGAAAATTAATTTCTGGGTTTTATATAAAAGTAATTGGTGTCAAAGTAAGGTTGTCTGTCCAGTTGTAGTTATCCAATTCTAAAGTTCTCCAAATGAATAAATAAATAAGTAAATTGAATAGATATTGATGGGCATGGCAAATGTCTGTATGTCATGCCAAATCTTGCAGAGCTTAACTCTAAACATTTTGTTGAAGTTTATACAAGTCTAGATTGAGTCTTGAAAATCGGACCGTTTGGAATGTGAATACCTTAATCACTGTCAAAATGTTAGTGTTCTATCATTTAAAAAGGGGTCAGTTTTACTGTGGGGAAAGACGACACACATCCTGGAGTGACAGCTACAAAAACCTGCATCTTAAATAATACTGATCAAATTATAAACCAAACTAATTGCTTGTGAAGATAAGGAAAATTCAAACATCTGAAGAAAAATCTTGTGACAGAAAAAGGATGTTGATGAGAAGATTCACTTAGAATGATCATTTAAGGAGAATAAAAAGAAAGAAAAAATAAATAAAAATAAAAATGTTTTTATTCTGTAACCTAAAAAATAGTTGACATCCTCATAGAGGTAACTTGAATTTTTCAGATAAATTATTCTTATTCATACCCACTTTTAGAAGAGAAATAAAAATAAAATATTAAATATTCTATTTCATTTTTGTGGGGGAAAAAATAAAAAGAAAAAAACCTCTAAAGCGTCCAGATGTCCTTGTGGCACCTTAGTAGGCTACTTTTATATGCTTTCTAGTATTTTACTACGTTGTTAACCAATGATCCAGCAACTTGATATGAATCCCTGGGAATATTCAGATATCTTTATATTAAATAAACATAGAAATTTCCATCAGATCTGAATATTGATCTTGTGGTTGAAAGAGGAAAAACAACATTCTGGTTGGTCTCATCCTGTGTTGCTGCAGTGCTGCTGGGAGAGGGGCCAATCAGAAGACAGCCTGTGCTGGTGTTCCTTTGGGAAGGATGGGGTGGGAGTGAGCATGGATGAATGTTGGGCACAGCAGGAGGTTGGGGTTTACCTGGACTGGATCTGATGCATCAATTCTTGGTGGACAGCATCCCACCAGCTTCAGATCCTCACCTGGGGCTGGTTTTCCCAGGAATTACTTGGAAAAGAGCTGCCGAGCCTCTCTCCATGAGGAAGGGGTAAGCTTTGCCTTCCTTAGGGCCTGGATCATGAGAAACTCATATGGAATTGGGTGAGTGTCCCTGCCCATGGCAGGGGGTTAGAACTAGATGATCTTAAGGTCCTTTCCAACCCTAACTATCCTATGATTCTATGATTCTAAATCAAAGTAAATAGAACAGTAGAAGCTTAGCTAATGTCCAGATATATAGCTCGACCAGATCAAAGAATAAAATAAGATGGCTTAATTCCAGTTACTTGCTGTCAAACACCTAAGTCTAAACATTTATCAACTTCAAAAAACAGTTCAAACACTTCAGCTCTAACCATGGTATGAGGGGTGGATGTCATCCTATTGAAGAGAAGAAACTGAATGCTTTTGCCTTATGTTTTCTTAGCAACTTTACTGACCCACAAGGGAACAGGAGGATTGACTATACAGGAGTCATTTGACTCTGAATCAACTTCTTTCCAAAATTATCATCCTAAAGAAAGCTTGAACAGTTTTTAAACTGAAATTACAGGACAGAAAAGTTAGGCATCTGTCTCCTTGCTGAGTACCTGTTCTCTGGGCGCAACACTAAATGTCTGCTCAGTTTGCCTCTGAGAGTGTCCTGTTCCATTAAAGGCATTTTTGTGAAGCTGAGTCTGAAGGAAGAGCACTTGAGCTGAAACTTAAAAGCTACAAATGGCTGTTTCAGATATTTCTAACTAGCTCTTAGTCTTACTCAGTCCTACTAGTAGATAGAACAGCATTTATGTTTGCAAGGTGGCTTTGTCATCACAAAAGACCATTAAGAGTTTCTTTTTCTTCAGCTTTGGGAATGGTGTATCAACAAATCGTTTTCCTTTCTGTCTTAGCTCTTTAAAGGCAGCAGAAGATGATCCTGTTTTCCTTACAACCAAATGTGTCACAGAAGAGGTAAAAAAATATAGCTAGTAAACAAGTCATAGACTGCATATTTCTACATGAATGTCTTCAAAGCTTTCAAGTCTGGTATACAATGATACAAAGATTGGAAACTATAGAATAAAAAGGATTTAGAAGATATAATTATTGGATTCCTTATCTTTGTAAGTAAAAAACAAGCCTCAAATTAGTAATTTAAATTGGTCTCCAATCTATATGTAGGAAATATTTTGTAGAATTAATGATGTAGAAAATTGTTCAGATCTGATAACTAATGATAAAAGGAAATTATTAGTCATAAATAGAATAGATAATAACTGAAATTTTGTTTCAGGCAAGAGAAATCACTGCAGCTGAAGCTCTGCAATTGAGAAACAGCGTAAAGCAAAAATCTAAATTTTATTGATTCTCATTCAGTGCTTTAATCAAAAGTTTTACATTAAGATTTACATATTATGTAACTTCAATTGTCCAAAATTTGGGCATACTGAAGCTATTTATGCTATCTCACCAAATGAAATAATTTATCTCAGACTTAAAGAGCATTTTTAAGATGTATTTGCTATTTTGCCTTGGTTAAATGATCTGGTTTACAGTATTATTACCCCATAGAACAGTTGCACAGATGCGTGTTGCTCTGCAGTTCACAATGAAGCAGGTATATAAACCAGTTTTCCACTGGACAAAAAGTTTATAAAATTACATCCCTAGGTTCTGAAAGCTATGAAGCACCCCTAACCTGTGTACCCACTAATCCCCATACTATCTACACACATTTCAGTTCTTCAGCAATCTACAGACATGATCGTTGTCAGTTCAGAACAATGTGTTTTATAAAGTACTTTTAACTGGGACACTTCTCCAATTTTTTTCTGTGTTCACTTACAATTTATAGTTTTTCCCTTTTGTGGTCTTGTTGGGTGCAGTAAGATTCTCCAGACAAATGCAGTGGGATAGCTGTTGAAATGCTATATTTTTGCACAAAGTATCTCCTAAAGACAAAATCACTTTAAATAATTTTTTTAACCAAAATATAACTTCACAGTAACCTAACCTTGAATCTTAAATGAATATCATTACTTGAAAGGATCAAGGAGAGAAAACTAAAGGTTTTAAAGTTACATATAAAACTGGAAAGTGTGGATGGTTTAAGGTAAAATAACAAGTCTTTAAGAGAAGATGGTACAAAAGTAATTTGTGCAGTTTATTCATATTCTGCTGGTCCCTTTACAGAAGACTGTAATGATAACAGTCCAATACTGGTTTTGCAAATAATTGACTTTTGGTTATTAAACTAAAATATGCCTGCTTAAAATGTATCAGATTTTTCAGAGGACCTTCATATTCATGTAAAAGTTTGGCCACATCTCATTTATAGTACAGGTCAATCAGCTTCTGGGTTGACCAAAAAAATCATAAACCACAAAACAGTTCTCAGGTACATGATTTTTTTTTTTAACATCATCATAGCAACTTTTTCTTTTCTCCTCATTTTTTTTTTCCGAAGAAACAGCTAGCTGCTGAAAATTCTTACAAAATAAAAGGACAGGTAACTAAAATTTAGCAGATCTTCAGAAAAATTAAAATAGAGACTAAAAGTGGAAGATATTTGGCAACTTATTCTTTTAGTGTCCTTTCCAGTTTCACCTATGTAAAGGCAAAAATGGGGGCAGGTTAGCAAACTTTTTTCTTACCCTAATTTTATTTTCTGATGCTTTTATAAATTTTCTTACCATCAAGCAGATAAACATTACAATTTATCAGGTTCCCAACTACTTTAAATCCAGAGACTGGCATGTTTATTCTACTTAAATAAGTATGCAGTTTTGACAAGGATTTTAAAATGCATGTCAATCAAACAAGAGGATGGTATTTTTCTCAGTTACTTCCACTGTTGACATATGGCATGGGAAAAACAAATGTAGTACTTGTCATAAGGCTGCACATACTGGTGTTATCTGCTAAGTAACAGAGCCATAAACATAACTTCCAAAGTACCATGAATTTTCTTTGTTTCTCTTTTTGGACTGGATGATCACACAGCTGTCGTGCTGTATATTTTACTCAGATTAATTTATACCCCAAATATGGCTAGTAATGTAGTAAAGAAAAAGTCCTAACTTCATTAAAAAGAAAGAAAAATTCCCTGTAAGTTAATGGGGATCAGTAGTCTATCTAAAAAATTTTTGATTGACTTTTTGTACATATCAGTTGTGTCTGGGAATTCAATCATATGCTGTACTTCTGCATTAAAGAAAAATAATAAAAAAATCTCCTAAGAAGCTTATTATCTAAAGACGTTCATTAGAGAAGTCTTTTCATAACTAAGTCAGTTTTAACCAATAACAAATTTTCATCTAAGAAAACCTGTACTGTAGGAAACCTCCAGAATGAATTAGCTTGTCTTGGCCACTCTTTTGTCCTGGACAGTGACCAATGGCATATATTTAGAGTAAATGCAGAAAAATAAGCATGTACAGAGTGATTACCCAGCTCTTTGTAATCAGCAATTCAGGCAGTTTCAGTCAGAATTTAAATCCGTCTATGCTCTACTAACTTCTACAGACCTATTTTGAATTCATGTTTTTTGTGTGTTCATTGCAACCTGTGGCAATACCCCATAAGTTTATTTGTTTCATAATTAACTTCTTTAGATTGCTATTTCTTGCAATAAATCTATCACAACACCTGATTAAATGAGCAGCTTGCTGTTTTGAAATAGTTTATCCTTTTCAAGTCATCATTTGCATAGATTTAATGATTTCATAGATGTCTGCCATAACCTTCTCCATTATATGTTTTAGGAATTTTAAACTATTTAATCTCTACATAGATGGAAGCCATTCCTTATCTTTGAATATACTGCATACTCACCCTTGTCTACTCTGTCTTGTTGAAATGAGGGGGAAAAAAGTATTCCTGTACAACTATTCTTTCTATCAGGCAAATGGAAAGATAAGGTGGGTACAAACTATAGAGGTAAAAGAAAAAATCACAGCAATACTGGACAGCACCTGTGGTTCTCCCCATGTTTTCACAATTTCCCTTCTGTCTCCTATAAAACTAATAACATTTATAATTTTTAGATACATTCTTGCTCTTGGAGTTAGAAGTTACTTACATGTGCTTTTGATATCTTGCTTACTCCTCAGAAGGACTAAATATCTTCTCTTTTCCTGAAAAAAAAAAAAAAAGAAAGATTAATATAACAGTCCTAAGTAACTTATTTTTGTAGCTGCAGAACAGTTTTCAGGACTGGGAATACACAGAGGTAGTTAAACCTCTGTGGCTATTGTCAGATATATACTTTTTTTTTCATGCATAGAGATGTCCAAGGCCCTTAACTTATGAGTGAAACTTGATCTAATTATAATGCTGCTTTCATTTGTATTGGAAGCTCAAGAAGACAAGGGACCACCTAGTTCAATAATACATGAAAAAAAAATATTTTTTTCCTGCATTTTTTTCATTTTGATGCCAAATGTGGATAAACCAGAACAGATACTTTATCTAATTAGATATATTTAAAGAAATGCTTTTCTTTATTAAAAGCTTTACAGCTAAGCACATAATTAGTATATGCTGTAATTAAGCCTCCAGTGACTTATAGATCAGTTGGCCTATAGCTAAGAGTGTTAAAAGTAGACTTAAAAACTAAGATTAAAAAAATGTAGGGAAGCTGAAAAAATGAAGAACCTCTTTCTTGACTAATTTAATTGGATTTTAATCAAATTAGAGTTGTCTATAGTCAACAGAATCTGAGGGGCGAGATTCTCAGTTGACCAAATGAGCATGTAAGAAATGGATGTCTTTCGACATCAGATAACATGTTGGGTCAGGTGCCTAGGACATTTGTAATGTAAGCCAAGTTCTGTTTTGTATTTCATGGGTTGTGAGCAGCTGCAAAATTATTTCCTGATTTAACATTACTGATTGAAGTAAAGGCACAAAAGGAAGGAACCTGCTACATGATCCTGAAGTATGTGAAATTTTATATTACATTAAAAAAAAAAAAAAGAAAGAATGTAAGATTTAATGTAATAAACATTTCATATTAAAGACAAAAATAGTCCTGGAAGCTGAAGGCAGATTCAAGGTCTTCCAAAGTAGTCTACACACTAGAATACAAAGTCACATTCATCCTCTAGTGCTTCCTCTCTGGTCCAGTATACCCTGCACTTTTATCTGCCTGAGAACATCTTCACAAGACACATGCAGATTGTCTTCCCACACTTCAGGAGACTGTTGTCTGGTGACTAGGACATGAGCTTTGAAAGATGCAGATCATTGTTTGCAGTGAAAGGATAGGATTGAATCTGGGAGCCCAACCTACTCAGTGGGTGCACTAAGTAGTAAGTCAGTAAGCAATATGCAGCATAGGAAAAAGGGAGAGGCTTCTCTTCTCTGTCTGTGGTCTAAATTTGACCTACTTTAGATTTGTAGTGTGTGAAGAGAGTGGTCCTGCCATGTTCTATGGCTGCTGGGAGTGTTTACTGGATTGAGTTTTTGGCATGATTCAGACTTCACTCCTCCTAGTTTCTCAATCTAAACTGAGCTCAGACATGATCTAAGTGCTGAGCTGCTTAAGCCTGCCAACTATAGGACAGTTCTGGGCACGTGCAGTGACTTAATAGGCACCTGAAGAGATTTAGCATCAAATGTTGAAGACTTTATAGAGATTAGGTGTCTCCAGCTCAGAAGGTGAGTCAGGATTTTGCAATTACAATTTCCCCTCAGCGGCTCAAACTTATTTTGTTTTAGTATCTAAATCTTGCAGTGGAACTTGCCTTGAATGCCCTCTACATCTAAAATAAAACAAACAAAATCTGTCACTTTAAAGTAGTAGGGTTCCTTGTTTACAGTAGTTAACTGCAAAAACATCTTTCTTTAGTGAACAAACCTTAGAAACACGTTAAATGCTCATCAGTAGATGAAAACCTCATAAACCAGGTCTCTGCACTTATGACCCCTCTGATCTAGGGAATAGTAATACTTAATCTTTTTAAGAGAAAATGTGCACAGAAATAAGAAGAACATACGAAGCACATGGCATTGAGAACAAATTTGTTTGGTAGTTTGAACAGCATTACTGACAATTAAACCCAAGGTTCCTCATCTAAATGCCATTCTTTTCTGAAACAATTATGACGTTATAATGTACATCTTGTCTGAAAATAGGTGAAATGAGTGCTGATCATCACCACTATGAATACGTACAGGATTTAGTTGAAGGTATTTGAATTTTTAGGTCACCAAGACATAGCCAGAGACAAGTTTCTGACTTGTAGCAGGTTAGGTCACTCAATCCTTAAAACCTATTAAGAAAAATTTACTTTCTAAATCAACAAGTTAGCTGGAATAATTTGAATGTTAGCTCATATGATCCAGAGACACAGGTAAAATGACCTTTATTATTACCTCTGGTTAGGCACTAAAGTTGAAATAAGCAAACAAACAAAAAAACAAAAATGTGTGTTCCTAAATTCTTTTGCTGTTTTTGAATGTCTTTTCCTTCAAAAAAAAAAAAAACAAAAACCCAAACGTGCAGTTCTCAGTTGTGCTGAGTTCTTGCCACTGCCACTGGTTTCACTTCTATCCTGAAATCCACATATCTAAGTGGTTTATTCTGAGGTCATTCATATTTGGAAATGGTCAAGCTCTCTTTTGTGAAAAATTTACAAGTCAGACATCAAAATTAAACTGTTTAAATGAGTCGTCAAGTCTTTATTAGTCTATATTTAGGGATCCTACTTACTATCCTAGATATTGTACAAGAAGAAGATTTTCCTGAAGTACTGAAGTTACCAGACAAAGCAGAGTCCCAGACAAAATCAGTGTTTATATGCTTTTGAGTATCTGGATTCTTGTCACTAAAACAAAGCTCAAATAGATGGCATATTGTTCCCATCGCACAGTTTCCTAAAGTGTCCTGGATCAAAAACATGTTGATTCAACTAATTACATCATATAGGGAGTGCACTTTGGATAGCATTCTTTGTTTACGCTACACTTACCTGAGTCCAATAATACCTGTGATTCTTATAATTGATGGTATAAAATTTTAAAACTTGCTAACTCTTCTTTGACTCTTTTGTCACATTGTTAGTTACCTTGGGATTATTTGGCTATACTTTTTTCCATTCTTATTCAAGTTGAAGTCCACTGGGAAGGGAAAATGAAGAGCTGAGAAATCAAAAGGATTTGAATGTAGATAAAATAGCGTTTTCTTTTTAAGGTATGTTTCTTTTTGTCTTCTTTTTTTTAAGATCTTTACCACAGACTGATGTTCTGAAGCCACAGGCTATTGAACTTTCTAGTACAAAGATCCACCTGGTGCTGAATAATCACACACAACTTTTGTGTTTGATCTGTTCAACATGAAGCTTTTAAGTCAGGCTTCTGAGACCATTGCCCATCATGCTGACCAACACTGTGTCAGTTCCTTGTACTTCCCTGCCTGTATGAATTCATCTGGTGCCTCTTACCTTACCTTACATTCAATTACAAACTTTTTCTGAGGCAGTAGCTGTGTTTTATGGTTGTACTATATATATATCTGAAGCCATCTCCTAAGTATTATCACAGTGCAAATATCAATCTATAGCTATTTAAAGTAATTTATATTAATATAATTTACTGCTTTCTTTTTTTCAAGAGTAAAAGAATGTATATCATGCTTCTAGCAGGGCACTTCAAGACCATAGATCTGCATTTAAGGGTAATTTTAATTATGCATATTTTGAATATAATAAAATAAGCTCTTTAAATATTCAGCTCAGTGAGGGTTGGAATCAAATGAGTCTATTTTGTATGTGAAACTCTCAAAGATCAGTGAGTTGAGAAATTCAAACACAGAAATTCTTTCATTACTAAGTGATTCTGAAAAATGACTACAATTCAGGAAATAGTAATATCTGTTTCTTATTTAGTAAGGTTCCATAGGACTACCTTTCCTCAACACATGCCTCATGCCCTTCATTCTGACTCTTCCAGCAACCAGGTAGTCACTTACCCAAGTGCTATCTATATTTTGAAGAAATGCTTCTCCTTGTTTCTGGAAAAAAACAGATATATGGTTAGGTTCTAAAAGCACTGCAAATGTATATAATTACTAGTTGTGGTGGATCAGACTAGAACATATAAAGAGCTACATTCTTTATAAAATGAGCTTAATCTGCTAGATAAAACAAAATTATTTGCTGATGTGTGAAAAAAGACTAAGAAGAATCCCTTCTTTTCAAGTCATCTGCCACTCCACCAAATACATCTGGAATTCAGTATCCCAAAGTTTAATTAAACCTGCAGAAAAATTAACCATTTATATACAATCTGCAGAAATTCTAATTCTGGTCTTCTATGAACATGACTATAGAGCTGCATTAAATGGAATTATGGTCAGAAGAATTTCTCCTAAGCCACTTATTTTCAGTTAGAATAATTAGCAGCATTAGTTTTATTAATACACACACTCAAGATTCTGCTGGTATATATAAAGAGATATATAAAGCAGATATGTCAATTTACTATAATTTTCTCTTTGACTTATTGCATATTCACTCTTTAAAATGTTGTGGGTTTACAACCTTCATGAAGACTCAAACCTGCAACCTGAACATGGGATGTAGACTCAAACTGAGGGTAAGACAAAGTTGGTTTGGGTTGATGGAAAATATTACAACATTAAAGAGGTTTTCTACAAAAGTTTTCACATATTCTACCTCTTATGCATTCTCTCATATTCTTTTAATGCATAAAGGAATAAAGGAAATTATTCACTCAGTTTAACATACTTAGCATTAGTAGTTAGATGTGCCTGAAATCTCAGACCACAAGCTGTGAACATTCACGTAGATACATTAATCTTTTTACCTACTTAAATAAAAAAAAAAAGTCCCAGAGCCAGTTTGTGTCTTAAGAAAGCAAGGAAGGCCACTATCTCCTCAGAAGAAGCTGCAACCTTAGAGATAAGAGGAGAAACAGCCCACCAAGAGACAGTGAAGAGACCCAGTAGAGAGCAAGAAGACCCCAGACACTGTTATTATTGGACTGAACTGCTGTGTGAAGGGCAGGAAACTAATATTATTAGGGTATCATTGTTCAGTGGGTTTTTTTTGTTCAGGATTCTTCTCCAGAGGCACCTAATTCCTACAGCTGTATCGCTCAAATAAATTACATCATCAGATTTAAAGTCTGGGTCTCTGCTATGGAATACCTGGGTTAGAGAAGCATTGTTAACAAATGTTCTCTAAAAGAATGGCACTCAAGCATCAGAGTGAGGGTGACTTTTCTATGTTCACAGATGTTCATATGCCTATACTTCTCCTATTAATTATGCCTGAAAACTAACAGTTCCAATCAGAAGCATTTATCTGTGTGCAGAGAAGGCTCCAGAGGATGGCAATTGACAATGCATGTTATTAATATATGTTTGTTATTCAAATGCAAAATAACAAAAAATTAAATTAAGTAGCATGGCATTTCATCACACAATTGTACTAAGGAGACGACTGTACATGTTCTCTCTTCCACCAAACATCCCCTGGACTCTAAGAACAGTTAAATAGTTGTAGAAGAATATCCCAGTAGAGTCATTAGTTACCCTATTCCTTTTCTTTGCAACTACATGGTCTCATCAAAAGGAAAGAGGATTAGCTACGCTTTCTATATCATGGCTGTGTTAATAGTTGAAGTTTGTTACTGGCAGTCAGAAAAAAATTGAACTAAACTGTACATTGGGTGATGAAAGAGTAAGACAAAAAGAAGAGAAGTTGATTGAAAGAAAACTTCACTTTATTTTTATTAGTTTTTATTTTATTTGTTATACTTTTATTTAGACATTTTTCTCCTCAGAGCTTCAGTCATTTAATCCTCTGTTTTTTTCTTACTTTTTCTAATTAGATATTATTTTAGCCACAGGCTTTCATTTCTGTCCTATAGTTCTTAAGCTGTGGCATTAGTTATTTATTTGAAATTGTCAGTCATTTTGAGTCAGATGGTTTATAACTCCACAATGCAAAGTGGCTGTTGGATTTTGTACTATATACATGTATCAATTATTTTGGTAAAGTGGATACTGTTTATACTCTTAGAAGCAAAGGAAACACATATTTAATATGACATTCTCATTCTCAATCTTCAACCATTTAAAAGGGAGATATTATTTTACCTTCTAGGCTTTCTCTACAGATACTATTTTACCTTCTAGGCTTTCCCTACAGTCTCTAGAGTGATACCTCTGGAATATTATTACCTCCACTGTAAAGTTCACATCTAATGTAGGTGGGCATAATGAATCATGCTTATTCCTGTCCATTGAGAAAACCTGGGTGATTAGGTAGGTTGGTTGGTGTTTACATTTTAGATGACTGAAATAAGGAGTGATGGTTTTCACCGTTTTGATGTGAACCCAGCAAGAATATAAAGGCAATCCTTAATATTACTATCTCTTGTTTTTAAGTAGGTACATAAATGTAATTATGATATTGCTTTACTAAGATTGACTTAAAATACTCAATTTGTTTTCCCTTTTGTTCTATCAGTCCCAATTTGTGTCAAATGACAAGATATGTGAAACATAGCTCGCCTTTATTCTTTCACCACTGTGACCTCACTTAAAATAGTGCTTACAAAAAATATTGTTTTGCTTTTCATTGTTTTCTAAGCAGTAAAGTCTGTGGAATATAAAACTCATAAAAGGTTGTTTCATTCTTGCACTTGATGAGGTGAGGACATTTAGCTCTTTCACTGATATTATGATGCTCTCCTTATTCATAACAGTCTTACCTGAGTTTATCAAATAGTTCAGTTGTTTACATTTTAGAGTCTTCAGTTTGTGGCAAATGAGCATAAAGTTGTTGAATTAATGACACCAAATTTTAAACTAATCTGTGTGATTAAACTGTATATCTTGAAGCCATATAACTTAAGGGAGACAAAAACAAAGGCCTTTGAAGAGTTTGGTTCAGTCGTTAGCAATTCAGCTGGGGAAGAAGAGCCTGCATTGCCTGTTGCTGCTCAGAAATGGCATGTCTTGGTTGGTGGTAGTAGTATAGAGAATTCTCTTGCATTACTTCCAGCCCGTGAATAAAGAACTCTTCAAACCAGCTGAATGTTTTTTTTTATTGTTTATGGCTTACTCATTATTTTATATAGCACTGGTGTGCATAAAGGATAACCAGTTAATATATTTGATGACTAAATAGTACATTGCAGCCCTTACAGTTCATATCATTGTAAACCCATCACTTCAGTAATATGAAACAGAAAAATGGCATTTTAAAAGTAAGATGAGATAATAAACAGCACCCACCCTCCTTGTTTATACTGCAGCAGTTGGAGCTTATTATTGTTCTGTGTAAAATGCTAAGAAAACAACCATTTCCAGGCTGGATAAAAGCAATGTAAATATCAGCTAGTGTATTAAGTGCTATTAACCCAGCTGTAAAGAGCTTATTTGCACAAAATGTTCAGGAAGAAACTCTTATTACTTGGCAATATTACTGGACCATAATCTTTAAACAAACTCTGAAACCACTAGCTAAAACCATAGACGTGTTGAAGTGGAAGCAAGTATCTATGTACAAGAGCACTTAAAAGCCTAGTAGAACTGCCTGAACAGAAACAGGCACCTTTCTATTGGTCAGTTATAACAAAAATTAGAAACTTATGCTGTGCAAAGTAGGTTTCTTTTGATGAAAGCTACACTATGGAGTTTCTTAGAGACATGAAAATTTAGAGGCTTCTGAATACAAATCTGTTTCACAGCAAGGCACTTCCTAAACTGAAGCATAGCTGGAAATAGAAGGAGTGAAATCAAATTCATCAGATAGCTATCGCTACCACTCTGAATTATTGATTGTCAAACTTATCTGTCTACTGTAATCAATAACAACTGGTTCACAAATAAAATTTCTCACTGTCTGTATTTATACAGATGGAACTGGCCACAACTGAGTAACTCCATCTTGTGTAATTCCACTGTTGCTGCATAAGAAGTTCAGAGAGAACCAACACAGAATATAGATAGAGAGCAACTGAGTTTTTTTAAAATAACAGTCAACTGTGAAGCAATTATCTTTTTTTTGTGTGCTTGTTTCCCGTGGGAATGATCAGCTCTGTTATTAGTGGCCTTAACTGAAGAAACAAAAAAGGACGTATTGACTAAATAAGATTCAGATTCTAGAACTTCTGGGGAAAAAGCCCAAACCAACAAACCCAACAAAAAAACATTTGAAGACATCACTGTGTTGAATAATGGAAAAATATATGTAACACTAATTATACCAACATGCATATTAGCCATAACCAGTAGGCAAATGATTCAACAACAGGGTAAACATGCAAGACACTGAGAACAAATCTTTCCTCACAGGTAGCAGATATAAATGTTCACTTGGTATAGGTAACTCATAATTTCCCATTTGGATTATTTTGATCCTTTTTTTTTTTTTTAAGATTAAAAAAGTTAAGAGAAACTGAGTTTAGCACAAATTATTCAATCTTGAACCTGTTCATTTACAGTTAATAAGTAAGATGCTTGAACAAACTAATCCTGAGTCAACCCTAAATCAAATATAAAAGAATGACTGAAGCAGTAAATGTGACTGAATGATGAAATTTTATCTTTTTTTAAAATATATTAAAATAGCATATTAAGACAAAAGTCTTAATAGAGTGAAATTAAACTCTAGGTAGATATTGGGAACTGTAAATAGAATAAAAACAGACTAAGAAAAAGACATTTAAAATCAATTTATATTCAAACTGTAATCCATTTAAATTGAATATTGAGATGAAACCTAGAGTCAAAACTTCCATGTTGCTGAATACAACAAAAAGGAAAACAAAAGCCAAGAAAAAAATGAATGGCTGAATGATGATGAGAAAGCTGAGGTTTATATCTTGTTTCTGGAAAATAAAAAGGCAGCCAAAGGAAATACAAAGTACTTCAAACTGAAATCTGACACACCATACACCTTCTCAAAAAAAAAAAAAATTCAAAGTCAAAACAACCACACCCCCCCCGAACTTGTAGACTGGAAACAAGTCTGTGAA